CCCAGCTCTACAATATATATATAAAAACAAAAAATAAAAGATGGGACAAATTAAACGTTTTTTTTCTCCCCAACTCCATTTGTTGCCACTGGAAAGTTGAAGGAAAAAAGACTAGAAGTCTGGGTAAAGGGAAAAAGGCAGATCTTCCCATTTGCCTTTTTTCATCTCTGTTATCTCCGTGTACGCTCACACGCAGACAGTTTCATCCAGACTTGGAGAATCAGTCTTGGCTTTCTTCTCCTTCTATGGCATTTTACAGCTGGTACTTATATTTATGAGTTATTTATTGGAACAGAGCTCGCTTTTTGTTCCAGGCTAGAGTGAGTGCCGTGGCGTCAGCCTAGCTCACAGCAACCTCAAACTCCGGCTCAAGCAATCCTTCTGCCTCAGGCCTCCAAGTAGCTGGACTACAGGCATGCTGCCATTATGCCTGGCTTAGTATATATATTAGTGACTGATATAATATAGTATACTATCATATATATTAGGCCAAGTTTTAATTCTGATGGATAGAGGAGGTTCCCGCTTGGCTCAGCGGTTGTGGACGCGAGAGGCACCGCGACCTCGAGCAATCCGCCCGTCTCGGCCTCCCAGAGTGCTAGGATTACAGACGTGAGCCACTCAGCCACAGCTGGTCTTTAGAATGGAGTCCCTGGCATCAGCCCACCCTGCCTTTAACCTAAGCCCCCGGATTAGATTGACACTGACAGCTGAGGAGTGACTTCTCAGAGGGCAGGGACTTCAAGGGTTTGGGATGATGGGGGTAGGAGAGGGTGGAAGAGGGAGGGAGAGGGCGGAAGGGGACTCTGGAAGTTCCAGCCTGTCCCCTGAGGGTGAGGCCACCCACAGATTCTTATCCACCGAGCTGGCTGGAAATCTCAGCCCATAACTCTGATAGAAGATAAACACAACCTAATTTAAAAAACAACTTATTCATTTCCATTTGAAGTCTTCGTTCTAGTGTGGTGGGACCTCAATTTGCATCAAGTTTCTCCCTTTCCCATGGGAGTTACATATCATCAAGGTATGGGGAAGGGTCACAGGGTCCTGTCATCACTCTACTCAGGTCGTGCTGGGACCCCGAGCTGCAGCTGGGTCCCTGTTGGTTGGAGGCCCCATTCTGCTGCTCCCGTGCCTCCCCGTGGGGTGGAAATGCAGGGGACACAGAGACTGCTCTGCCTGGACACACTGCAGAGCTGGCTTCTCCATGGGGTCTCGCCACCCGTGTGGCGCTCCGGGGGAAGCCGTGCACTGGAGCCCGCACCCCCCTACTCTTGAATTTCACCAACCTCTCTCCGGCTTTGCTGATTACCTAGGCTCTGCTAGGACCCAGGGCATATGGCTTCTCTCTCCTCACTCCCCGCTCTCTCCCCTCCCTCCAGCCCTGGAAGAAGATCCCCCTTCAAACACCCAACCCTCTCACTTCTTGCTTCTGCAAACATTTTCTTAGCTCCTGGAGTTTAATCAGGGAAGAAGCCTTTGTTTCTGCTTGGCCCAGACACACCCTTGCCTCGGGGGCGATGAGCTCCCCCCACCTAGCCTAACCGGCCAGAAATGGTGAGGGGTGGGATGTGGGATGGGGGAAAAGGCAGAAAACACGGGTGGGAGCCAAAGTTACTCCTCGGCAACTTTAAGCCCCTCCAACGGTAGCGGAATTGGCCCCTTTGACCCCTTCATGTGTCTATCTTTGCATCTATCCTTAATGTCTCCCTGACACTTGGTGTGACTAACCATCCGAGTTTGGGGTAGATGACTGAACTAGTTCCTGGACAAAAAGTAGCCCTGAATCCCAAAAGGCTCATAATTGTGCCTCATTGTCTTAAAGAAGGGGAGGGGAGTTCCCTCCCAGCTACTCTCCAAGGGCAGGAGAAAGGGCAGGCTCCTGGAGCCTGCAGAGTGCAGGGAGCCTCTAGGGAGAGACACTGGAGGGGTGAGGGTGGGGCCATGGCGGAGCACCGTGGATCTGCATTTAATAAGTGCTCCCTACCAGTTTTTTAGGATCTTGGTGACAGGTTTATTACACTGAGGACTGGAAATTTCAGCGGACCCAAGCGCTCCTGAGGGAAGTCTCACAGTGGTCCACTGAAAACAAAGTGAGTGAATGAATGAAAAAGTGCTTGAATCCCATTCCTTAAGCCTCTGGCACCAGCTGCAGCAGCTGCAGCGCAAGCATTATCCAGTATTCGTTAGGTATTTTGTGAAACAGAATCATAAAATTTTGCACATTTACTTAAATATACATTACAGTAAGACAAAACAAATAAAAATTTAAAAACTGAACGAGTGACTATAACTGAGATAACAACTGTCTTTGCTTTTGCCTGGGAAGATAGCCAAGTGATAGGTATCTTGGATTAATTTTTTAGAAGGGAAAACAAATTAATTACTTAGTAAATACAGCATGCTAGATAAGATCTCTCAAAATGTCGGACAAAAATGCGAAAAAAAATGGTCATTAGTGATTCAAGCAAGGTCTATTTATTGTTTAAAAGTTGGTTACATTAGTGTAAGAGGCAAATATTTGCCTTTTATGTTGGCCTTAAAAGTATTGATATATTTGAATAAAGATTAAGCTGACAATTAATCAGTGTTAACATCTAAGGTTTGCTTGAAGCCGGAATTAACTGAAGTCACTAAACTCTGGGTCAGAATCAAAAGCCTGACTCTGGGAAATTACTGAAAGGGTTAGGGGGTCGCAGTATTGGTAGGTCTTCCTGGTTTGGGGATCCCGTGCCTGGGAGCCCTGATTTGGCTGAAAGGATGGCGAGACTCAGTTATTCCACTGTTTGATTTCACCTATATGCGTTTCTTAAGTATTTGAGGAGAGCAAATTTCCGGATTCTCTTGAACTGCCACTTCAAAGTTTGCTCTTGACCTGCAGCTGAATGTGAGGGAAGCAAGCTGGGGCTGGCACATTTGTAGACAAAGGTTTATTTCCCCCTGCGACCCACCAGCAGAGGGTGGTCACCAGTGAAAGAAAGAAGAACTGAGTCATTAGGGCACTTGCGTCTTACAGCTGGAAGGGTCCTTAGCTTCATCTCGTCCAGCCCCCTCTATTTATAGATAAATAGAGTTGTCTGGAAACAGGCCGAGTAACAGTGCAGAGTCCCGTTACTACTGAACAGGCTTAGCATCCAAGCCTCCTGTCCTAAATCCCATGCTCAGGCTACTCCATCCCGGTTTCCAGAACTGGGTTCCTCGGAACGCCATTTCCGCACGATGTTAACATATGTCCCCCTTTCTCCCCAAAGGGATTCTGGGGTCAAATGCTGGTTACAAGTGTAAACAGACTGCTTTTCCCTCCTCCAGGAATTCTCGGAAGCTTTCACATATTAATATACACTGAAAATCTCTAAGAGGAGAGACACGTAACCTTAAAAACGTTAAGACGATGTCATGATTTTTCACATATGTAGCATGTGCTTTCCTTCCAAATAGCTTGTAGAAGGGCTGCTAAGAAACAGTTCGTATGTTAAAGATGAATTAGTTCCCAAAGCTGAGGAGTCTATAGTAGCGGTTTCAGGGATACAATTTTCAGGAACTATGAGAAGAGTTCCTCGTAAAGTATTATAGAAAAAGAGGAGGGCCTCATACCCACTTTTAAGTCATTGTTCACTCACTCCCCTCTCTGCCCTGTTGCTTGCTGTTTTCAGTAAAACCTCCTTGCAAGTGGAGGGCTGGAAGAGCTGGCCCCTGAATACGTTAGAGCCCTGGTACAGCTGGCTGTGAGGCAGCCTGCAAAGGTCTGAGGGAGCATTTGAGGAAGCGCTCACTCTCTGAGTTGCACAAATGCCAACCTGCACTTCCAGGAATCCAAGAGTGAGTGCCTCCTTAAAGCAAGCACCCTGGGCTCTGTCCCTTAGTTTTGGCTGGGTTGAGTGGTGTGTCCACTAGGGCATTGAATGAGTTCCTTTGGGACTGGGTAATCAATCCAGGACGTGCTGAATCAATCTGGTGAATAAAGAGAAATCTGGCTGTTAGGCCAATTCCCTGGGACACACAGGAAAAATCATGGTGGCAGGAAGTAGCCCAAACAGGAGGCTGGTCTGGGTCTTACACCATCTATAAGAAAGTGACATTGTTTTAAAAAGTGCTGGTCTTACTTTGTGCCTCTGAGGACCCATTGTCGGAAAGGGTATGAGACAGTAAATACCTGAGTCAGCAAGGAAGGAGTTGGGCTACCCGGAAGAAAGACTGGGAGTTGGGGAGAGAGGGTGGACAATACCAGGCTTCCTGATGCACAAAAAATCCACCAGTAGATGAGACACAAAGTCTCTCTCTCTCTGTCTCTCTCTTTTTTTTTTTTTCTTCAGAGACAGGGTCTCCCTCTGTCACCCAGGCTGTGGCTCAATCATAGCTCACTGCAACCTAGAACTCCCAGGCTCAAGCCATCCTCCTGCCTTGGCCTCCCTCCCAAAGCGCTGGGATTATAGGCATGCACCACCTCGCCCAGCCAGGGGCTCTTTTTCAAACTCCTGACCTCGAGCAATCCGCCCGCCTCAGCCTCCCAGAGTGCGCTGGGATTACAGGCGAGAGCCACCGCGCCTGGCCAAGGGTATCTTTTTCTATGAAACAATTTTTACGGCTTCCATATGGGGAGTCTACTGCTTAGATGATTCAGAAGTGGGCACTGTGTGTAGATTTTATGAGATACCCTCAAAGGCTTATTTTTATAAACTAGAATTTAGCACTTTGCATTTGCAGAGCAATTAATAGTGTATGTGTTAGTTAATATCCCTTTTTTGGTTCAAGAGCAATATTTTGTTACTTAAAAATTAATAGCAATATCACAAAGGGCTTATAAAAAGAGATATATTACTCCAATAGGCAATTCCATATAATGGTAAGTTTTTATTTGCCATTACTTTAATTACTTAGATATTATTTTATATGTTTTCATTATTTTAAAGTGCCTTGGGAGTATGAAAGATGTCTTACAGATAATGTATTCCATTTTAGCCAGAACAGCCTAAACATAAGTAGCTGTAGATTAATGCATTTATCACTTAAAATTTCTTTTTAATGTTCTGTAAGCAAGTGAAATTGATGTCTTGGAGAAGACTGATACCTCCTAGGCCATGGAGCTCCTCCTCAGCAAATATTTCTTCATTAGATTATGAATATTTCTGGAAAAGGAAAAGAATAAAGCTAACAATAAGTAAAAAAGAACCCTACAGCAGCATGATAAACATTAGTAAGAGCTAGTGCTTAGAAAACACTTCACATCCTCTGGACGTGGAATATCTATTTTAAACTGAATTGGGAATTCAAATTCCACATGCTTCTTCTCTATTTCCTCATCGATGGGTTGATGTCCCTGTGTGTTCTGCAGAGGTGGCAATGCTTCAGGGAGGGTTGAAAATGTTCACAGAGCCATGCGGTTTTCCTTCAGCAGGCAAACTCTGGAGATAAATGTGACTCATGGTCACGATCCCTCAATGAGGATTTTTAAAAATAACCTATAGCCTCTATTTTTAGAGAACCTGCCAAGCTGCAGTGCTGCGGGCTCCCTTTTTTTTTTTTTTTTTTTTTGAAAGTAATTAACAATCTCAATCCCTCAGGAGAATGGATATCACTGAAATTCCTGGTACGGAAACAAAAGTGCACGGTCTTAACCAGAGGACACAGCTCCTGGCACAAAGAGGGCCACCCTCTTTCCACTGCGTGCCCTGGAAGAAGACAGCTAAATCCAAGGAGCAAATCAATCAGAGAAGAGCAAATAGTTTTAAACGTCTGAGAGGTCTTATAAATAAGGACGGAAGCAAAACTGTTTAAAAGCAGCTCAGTCCTTTCTTTTCAAACAAGAGTTTCCCCCTGACTTGGGCTCATTTGTTATTCAATTTCACTTCCCAGTCAATGCTAAAGGTCTGAAAGCTTTCGGCAGGTTTCAGTGGAATAATTTAAGTGCTCTAATAGAAAGACCAGAAGGGCAAATTATACAAATTTATTCTGAGTCGACTAAAAGTTTTACAGAATAAGAGAACCTGTGGTTTGAGAAGAGAGAATGTATTAAAATATCAATGGATATCCTTCTAATGGACAAGGACTGTTGGTCCAGTTGACAAACACCTCAGGTACGTGGCTCTGCCCAGACTCTAATTTCACACCTTCATATAAATTGAGCCATCCCATCATGACTGTGGTGGGATGATTTCTGTGCATGTACTCATTTTCAGTGAAGTTCATTAAAATGTTACAGAGGTTATCCATTTGCAAATGTTCATTGGTTGACACTTTCTTTGAAGAGGATCAGAAGCAAAGTTACTATTTGTTGCACATGCACGTTACAAGTATTTGCACAGTAAGTGTTCAATAAACGTGAATCATGATTAATACTTGTTTTTCTTAATATTACATTCTACCAGTTTACTCTCTCATTCCTGTTTTCTATTGCTTCTCCAGGCACTCCTCTTCTTAAATGTCACTTTGTTAGAATACATTCTTTAGCAATCTTTTAAAACACGACTTGTGAATGGTACAAATTCTGAGTTCTTCCTGTTTTGAAATGCCTGTATTTGTTCCCAGGTGAATAGGAATGATATTTCCACTTGAAATTTATGCTCACCTTTTCCCATCAGAATGTTAAAGATCTAGCTTCATTGTCTGCCATCAACTATTGCCATGAGAAGTATGAGGTTAGTGTGATTCTCTCTCTCTTTTTTTCCTTTGCAAAGTCTACTTTTCTCTCAGGAAGACTTAGGACTTTTTGTCCTTGGTGTTCTGAAATTTTGCCATGATGTCACCACGATTTATGTGACATTTTTCATTTTCCCACATGGGTCTTGTTGGGTATTTTTGTTCTGTTGATTCATGTATTTCACTAACTTTGGACATTTTTCTTATCTCTTATTTTCTCCCATCTGTCCTCTTTGTTCTCTTTCATCCTGAAAAATGTTGCTAGCTAGATGTGGGAACTTATGAAATTATTTTCCATGTCCCTAACTTTTCTATTGTACTTTTCATCTCTTTTCAGGGAATTCTTTAGTTCAGTCTTCTAGCCCACTAATTTGTTCCATGGTTGTTTCCATTCTGCTATTTAGTTCATCTAGTTTTTTTTGTTGTTGTTGTTAAATGTCAGTGATCAAAGATTTAATTTTCAAGATCTCTGTTTCAATAGATTCAATCAGCAGATGTAGTATCTGCTTCTCTGTCCACGAGGATATTGATTCAACTTATTCTAGAGTCGTTTTCTGTCTTTTTCAATTAACTTTGTTTTCTCAGATGTTTGTTCTTTCACTTGTTAAATTTGATGTCTCCTTTCATGGGGTTAGTTTTCACTGAGGTTCCTGTTGTGAGCTTGAAGCAGGAGCTGGCAGGGCTCCATCCACCTGTCCTCAAATCCCTTCACCATTTCAATCTAAATAGGCTCCCTGTATAGATCTACTCCCAGCAGCCAGCATCTGTGTCTCTGTCGTGGCCCAGACCTCAGCCTGCTGGATGGCACTTTGCCAGTATACACCAAGAGCCAGAGTGCCTGGGAGTTAATGTCCCTGGAGACAGTTTATGTACTGAGAGGTGCAGGGGACATAAATCTTCTGGGTCCCTCATTGCTTGATGGGACACCCTTGAAGTGTGACCTATACTATCTCCAGAGTTCCTGGCATTAAGCAAAGTTATCCTCTGAGAGTTCATCACACCCTTGGGTGGCCTTCTTCTTCCCTGGTCCTACTTCCCCACATCCCTACCCATTCTTCCTAGGAATATTTCTCAATAAATTAGCTTCCTACAAATCTTCATCGCAGTGACTTATTCATAAGAACCCAGCCTAAGGCTGTGCTCATCTTTAAGTGCAGGCCCTGCAGGGCTCTCTGTGAAGGCTGTATTTGTTTACCATGGCCTAGATCCAGTGACCTGGGGGAGGGGCTGGATAGGGTGTGCGAACACACACATATAAATGGACATATAATGGAAGAATGTGTATCTTTTACGTCTTTTCTAGGAATTGGACAGGGAGGCTTAAACACACGCTCAGCCTTCCTTCTTGGTCCGATCTCCATAAACATCTACTTAGTTTTTGTTCTTTTACTCACAAGCCAAAACTACAAAGGGAGAGTGATATAAAATATTCACTTCTGACTGGCAAATTTCTGTCCTTTGGAGCACAATAAATTTAGTTGCAAATCAGTCTTAAGCTGCAAAGCTTGAACTTGGAAGGTAGTTTACTCATTCCCTTATTGAGCTCCTACTGTGTGCCAGGGCTCTGCACTTACAACAATTAGCAAAACAGATAAGTACCCTACTTTCACAGAATGTTATGGTTCATATTTTTGCCTGCTCATATTCTTACGTTCGTATCCTCTCTCTCCCTCCCTCCCCCTCTCTCCCTCCCTTTTCCCACCATTATCTTCTTTCCTACCCCTTTTGGAAAACAACTTGGCAATTTGTTTCGTAAGTATTCCCTTTAACACAGCAATCTTCCATCTCAGGGAAATTTATCCTAAGGAAATTATACAAAAGAAAAAGGGAAAAAATGTGTGTGTAAAGATGTTTATGCTTGTAAGTAAGCATGAAAATTTGTAAAGCAACCTAAATGTGCAACAGGGGAAAAGTTAACTACTTTATGCTAGGCCCACTGGATGGACGATAATGAAGAAATTGAGAATTATAATGGTCAGGACTACAATGGTTATCACAGAAAATGTTTATAATGTGAAGCAAAAGGAACTGACTACAGAATTGTACATGCAGTTGATTATGATCCATTATACAAAATACACATGTATGCGGGCCCAGGCTGAAGGGAATACACTCTAACTACAAACAGAAATGTTGCTAAGGTAGTAAGATTACAGGTGAATTTTCTCTCTTCTGTTTTCAGATGCTCTTTGTTTTCCTACTTAGATTGTTTTTTTAAGTTTGGCTGTAAAAATGTTACTAAATGATTGTTAGAGTTAAGGACCTGGAATGCTGTTCTTCTAGAATCTAAACCATTATACTTCTGGCTCCTCCTTGACCCAGGTCCCAGGTCAAATACCACCTTCCCCGAGCAGCTACCTACTTACTTACCCCTGACTCCCAGCTCCCCACCACTCTCCCCCGCATTCCTGCTTCCTTTTCCTTCAAGGCTGAAGAGCTCTATCTAGAATTCTATCTTATTTATGCACCCTGTGTACTTGTTTACCCTTGGTCTCACCCAGCCAGACTGTAAACCCCATTAGAAGAAAGACTCCATGATCTTTGTTACCTGTAGCCCCAGGGTCTTCAGTGCCAAGCTTTGGAGAATATTTGTTGAATGCATGTATCCACCCAATCATTCATTCCATGGTCTTGACAAGCTAAAAATAAAATACCCTTCACTTCATAGACTGTAATACCTTCCATGATCTGACCCTTGCTTCCTCCCTACTTTCACCTCCTGCTGCTTCTGGCCTCCGATTTTAAGCTCCAATCAATCACGCTGACTGCTCGAAGTTCCTTCATATGCCCATAGACACTTCTCCCCTCTTACCCAGTGGCGTGTCTGCCCAGTGGGCTCTTTCCATCTCAATTCACCTGGCCAACTCTTCCTTGAGGTTCAGCTCAGTGGTCATCTTCTCCCCCAGTTGCTCAGCTGAAACACGTGCTGCCCTGCCTCTTGGGACACCCAGTGCCCTGACCTCCATCACCACATGTTACGAAGGATTTTGTGTTGTGCTTCTGTCAGAATGGGGCATCTTGTCCTTAGGATGACCTACTTTCTGGTCTCAGTCTCTGGCATACAGTAGGTGCTCAATAAATGTTTGTAGAACTGAAATAAATTATACTACAGAGACAGTTTAATATGAGCCAGGCATAGTGCCGGATGGTGTGGCATATTAGCAAGAGTAACCAGAAATAAAGCAGATTATAAGAAGTTAATTAGCATGTGCCAGATTCTTCTGGAGCAGAGAGCACCAATCTTTGGCTAATATCTAAATATTAAGAGATTTTGCATAAAAATACACGTTTGGCTTCTTCTAAAAAATGAATAGTTCTGGTGACAGGGCAATGACTAATTAGAACTAAACGGAAGTGCTTTCCTGATTATATGGGCATGCACTTGTCAGTTTTCCGCTGGCTCCACCACTCCCCATGGTTTGCCATCTGAGGTCAGCTGTGAATGTATTAAGAAAATTTGGAAAGAAGGCGACAGCATGTTTTTTCAACATCACACTAGAGCACTGTCTATTAGGCCTGGTAGGGATTATTTAGGACTGCACCATCCAATACTGTAGCCACCGGCTACTTGTGGCTATTTATATTTGAACTTAAATTAAAATTAAATAAAATTTAAAATTCTGTTTCTGAGCTACACTAGCCCATTTCAAGGGCTCATTAGCCACAGGTGAGCACTTGAAATGTAGCCAGTGTATTAGACAGCACAGATTAAGAACATTCCATCATTGCAGAAAGTTCTATTGGAGAATGTTGACCTAGGAAATATATTAATACCTTTGTTTGATTTACTATTGATTAGGGCCTGGCATCTGTGAAGTCACGTGTTAACTTATGGATTTTTGCTCAGATATATTTCTGTCTGTGGGAAAAGATAACCCCAAAGGTTACAGGTTTATTGCCCTGTGAGACATTAACCATTCAATTTGTGCAAAGCTATTTCAGCATGCCTTTGTTCAATGACTAGGTAAACCTCTGTTCCTCAAATTTTCCTTTGAATTAACTTTACCATCCCGTTGGTTCTTTCATTAATGAGTGCAATGGGTTGAATGGTGGCCCCTGAAAGACATGGTCAATCCTTGTGAATGTCACCTTATTTGGGAATTGGGTCTTTATAGATGTAATTGAGTATCTCGACATAAGATCATCCCAGATTACCCATGTGGGCCTTAAATCCAATGATAAGTGAGTGCCCTTATACGAGACAGAAGAGGAGAAGACAAAGAGACAGAGAACAGAAAGATGTGGTCCTATGTCCAAGAGGTGAGGGAATGCTGGCAGCCACCAGAAGCTAGAGAGGCCAGGAAAGACTCTCCCTTAGAACCTTTGGGCGGAAGAGGCCTTGTTGACACCTTGATTTTGGGCTTCTGGCCTCCAGAACTGTGAAAGAATACATGTCTATTGCTTTTTGTTACAGCAGCCCTAGGAAACTAATATAATCAGTTAACATTTGGTATGTGCTCATTTTATATTTCTATGAGAGTCATGTTTTTAACTTTTAAACATTTTATTGTGAGATTTGTCATTTAAAATATTCAAGTTCATGATGTTCTTTTCTCTCATACGCCTGTACTTATTTTTATCTTCCTGCCCCTGACAGTGTTTAAGAATGAGACACGATCCTTGACCTCATGACCCAGCCTGGCAGCTACAAACAGCCCGGAGACATACAGAGTAAGGAGAGGCTGTTGGTTCCAGCACCCTGGCCACAGTGGCTCTCTGTGGCAGAGGCCATCTCTGAGCAGGCTCACGGCGGGGGCTGCCCACCAACAGGCTCCTCCCAGCAGCTGCACACCAAGTCCCTCGCCGCTGGCTAGTCCCTGGGCCACGTGTCACTGGTCCACCATACTCTGTAATCCTCCCCTAGGATGCCTTCATGTTTCAATATCCAGGGAACCTTGAGAACTGAGAGATTCTGTCCCAGTATAGGCGGAGGGTGGCATCATCCTTCCTCTCCCTGACTCTAGGTCACCTATCAGTGTTAATATCTTCGGTCCATTCCTCCCTCCAGCTGACAGCCACCCCCAGCCCCTTCCTCTTGCTTTTCAAGGTTGTTCTTGGTGGGAGAAGCGGAGGGAATCTGGGGGAGGGAAGCCACTGTGAGCTGAGAACTCCCTTCCCTAGAACAGCCTGAGCTTGCCACATTGTGCATTCATCAGATGTGTGTCCCCGCAGGGCGCTGGGCCAGCCACCCCACCCCTGCAGGAGGAGGACCCTGTGTGCATGGGGTGGCCCTGAGGGCTGCCTTTCAAATAACCCAAGGAGCAACTCTTTAAAAGCTTAAATTCCAAAGGGATTAATCTTGTCAGGGGAAAGGAATAAAAGGAATCCACTCCTGTAAACATGAAACAAAGATCAGAATAAGGGTTTAAAGTAATGCTCAGCTAAGCCATGGAAAGACATGGAAGGTTGTACCATGCCCTGGGCTAGGTTTTTGTTTCTGATCTGAAGAAGAGAGAAATGGTTAAGTGAATGGGTTAAATGTAGGATTCAGCTGGTTGGAGAGGGGAGAGGTTTGAGATGGAACAATCTTAAGCTCCCTGGTTGGCCTCGTTGGAAGCAGGAGAGAGCCGTGAGCGGATCTGTGTGTTCCTCCTCATGCTAGTGAGCCCATGGCATCCCCTAGGTGCAAAAGGGTGGAGACAGGCTGGGCACGGTGCCCCATGCCTGTAATCCTAGCACTCTGGGAGGCCAAGGCGGGAGGATCACTTGAGGTCAGGAGTTTGGGACCAGCCTAAGCAAGAGCGAGACCCTGGCTCTACAAAAAATAGAAAGAAATTAGCTGGACAACTAAAAATATATAGAAAAAATTAGCCGGGCATGGTGGCACATGCCTGTAGCCCCAGCTACTCGGGAGGCTGAGGCAGGAGGATCGCTGAGCCTTTAGGAGTTTGAGGTTGCTGTGATCTAGGCTGTGGGCTAGATTGCTGTGATGCCCTGGCATTTTAACCTGGGCAACAAAGTGAGACTCTGTCTCAAAAAATAAAAAAAGATGGAGACAAAGTCACAGTGCTGGAGGGAGGCTGATGTTATTAATGTCAGTTCTGATGTTGTCTCTTCTCCCTTTGCCTGGAGTGAGACTGACTGGTTCTAATCCTCATCCTGCCACCTAGGAGCCTGTGTGACCCCAGGAGAGTTACTGACCCAGGGCCTTGGTTTCTTTGTCTGTACAATGGGAATAATACCTATTGTATCAGTCACAGCACGTGTGCAAGTACAGAAACCAAGTCTGCCTGCATTAAACAAAAAGGGAAGTTATTGGAATTGATGGAAGCCTGGAGGTGTGGAAAACTTGCAGGAAGGTGGGAGGCCAGGCAGGAATCCTGGCAGAGGCTACACAGCAGGAAGAATCTTCTCTGTACCCTGCGGTTCCCCTGCACTGGGTCCTTACCTCACTCACTCAGGCTTCCGGAGTCCCTGAAGAGAGCATCAGACTGGCCAGGCCAAAGTCACCCCCGGTTAAGAAGGAGGAGGCTCTGATTTCTTGTGCTTTGCTTCTCACTTAGACCACAGAGGATGACAGAGCCAGGTGTTAAGACGACCAAGGGCTGATACTGGACAGCAAAAGACAAAATCACAAATAAAAGTCCCCCACCAATGGCCATCATACTCTCCTCTGATGGTTCTGAGACATGGTCTGGGAAGTGCTTAACATGGTGGTGTTTGGCAATAGCGAATGTTCAATAAACAGAAGTCTCTATTAATGGATTAACAAGTTGTGTTGTGTTCATACAATGGAAATCAGCCCAGCAATTAAAAAGAATCAACTATTAATACAAAATCATGGATGATTTTCAAAGACATTAGGCTGAATGAAAGAAACCAAAACCAAAAGAGTTTGGTGAGGCTAGACGTGGTGTCATGTGCCTGCAGTCTTCAGCTACTTGGGAGGATGAGGTGGGAGGCTCGCTTGAGCCCATGAGTTTGAGTTTGCAGTGAGCTATGGCCATGCCATTGCACTCCAGCCTGGGTGACAGACTGCGACCCTGTCTTTATTTAAAAAAAAAAAAAAAAAGTTTGATGATTACAAACTATGCGATTCCATTTATATGAAGTTCTAAGAGTTGTAGAGAACTTCTAGAAGAAATCTGAGCCATGAAGACGGAAGTGAGAGCGGTGGCTCTCACTTGGAGAGGCTCTCTCCTCTGGAGCAGGGACACAGGTTCAGGAAGAATGCCTGGAGAGGGACAAGAGGGAGCTTTCTGGGGTGATGAACGTTTTCCTTAACTTGATGAAGGAGGCGGTTACTCAAGTACAGGCATTTGTTAAAACCTATCAAAATACACATTCAAAAGCTAGGCATTTTAGCATATTTTAGTGTATCTAAATTATGCCTCACATAAGATGTTTTAAAAAAGTGACATTTTTCTTATCATCAACTGATGTCCACCGCCTTCCCACCAATGTCATTATAATGAAAACATATCTGTATAACAAATTTGCTTCAACCCTTTACTTGAAACCACAGGTGAAAAGTTAGAAAAGTTGGAAGAGTTTGTTTTGATGGGTGCTATGGCCTGAATGTTTATGTCTCCCCCCCCAACATTCACGTGCTGAGACATCATCCCCAGTGAAATAGTATTAAGAGGTGGGGCCTTTAGGAGGTGGTTAGGTCGCGAGGGCAGAGTCCTCATGATGGGTTTAGTGCCCTCACAGAGGAGTCCACAGGGAGCTTGCCTGCCCCTTCCACGATGTGAGAACACAGCAAGAGGGCGCCATCTGTGAGCCAGACACTTCCGCTGGTGAACTCCTTGCTGGTGGACTTTTTTTTTTTTTTTTTTTTTTTTGAGACAGAGTCTCACTTTGTTGCCCAGGCTAGAGTGAGTGCCGTGGCGTCAGCCTAGCTCACAGCAACCTTAATCTCCTGGGCTCAGCGATCCTACTGCCTCAGCCTCCCGAGTAGCTGGGACTACAGGCATGCGCCACCATGCCCGGCTAATTTTTTGTATATATATTTTTAGTTGGTCAATTAATTTCTTTCTATTTTTGGTAGAGACGGGGTCTTGCCCAGGCTGGTTTCGAACTCCTGACCTTGAGCGATCCGCCCGCCTCGGCCTCCCAAAGTGCTAGGATTACAGGCGTGAGCCACCGCGCCCGGCCGCTGGTGGACTTTTGAGCCTCCAGAACTGTGAGCAATAAATTTCTGTTGTTCATAAGCCACCCAGTTTATGGTGGTTTTGTTCCATTAGGCTGAGTGGACCAAGACAACGGGTTTGGCTGTTTCAGCAGGATGATCTCTTCCCCCCAGAAACTGACAGCAGGCGTGTAGAACATATTCATAGCAAGTTGACACAGTGTAGGATTAGAGGACTCATCTTTTTGAAAAAGGAATCGACTAGGTTGGGTATGGCTGAACTCCTGTGGTTATTACAGTGGAAACACATATTAGTCTGCTGTAAGTTGGAAAAAAATGTTATGTGAGAAGCACTGTTCTAAGCTACCTTACTAGCTTCAAGCCACTCAGAGAAGAGCTTCCCACCCCTCTCGATCCTTTGTTATCACTGTAATCAGTGTAGCCCACACGGAGCATGCGCAAGTGAATCCTTGTGCATTTGTATTGATCTTGGGCCTGAGGCTTCTGGACAAATAAAGTTGTCAGAACCAGCCTACTCCAATCCTTAGGATTGTCCTCCACCCAGGAGAAGCCTGGACAGAGCAGGGAAGCCTAGACTAAGCAAGCATTCTCTTTGGGTCCTAGAAGAGCTTCAGCCTCAGCTGTTCCAAGGCCAGTCCTATCTTCACTTTTTTTTTTTTTTTTTTTTTGAGACAGAGTCTCACTATGTTGCCCAGGCTAGAGAGAGTGCCGTGGCATCAGCCTAGCTCACAGCAACCTCAAACTCCTGGGCTCAAGCGATCCTGCCGCCTCAGCCTCCCGAGTAGCTGGGACTACAGGCATGCGCCACCATGCCCGGCTAATTTTTTTCTATATATATTAGTTGGCCAATTAATTTCTTTCTATTTATAGTAGAGACGGGGTCTCGCTCTTGCTCAGACTGGTTTCAAACTCCTGACCTTGAGCAATCTGCCCGCCTTGGCCTCCCAGAGTGCTAGGATTACAGGCGTGAGCCACTATGCGCGGCCTGATCGTCACGTTTTGCTGAGTGAGGACCTGGCTAGTTGCCATCCCCAGGATCCCTTCTCCACTGTCTCCCTACTTCCTCTTTACTTGCTGGGCACGTTGTGACCAAGAATAAAATACTGATTTCCCAACCTCCCTCACGGCTAGATATGACTGTGTGACTTGCTTCTGGCAGGACAGATTCAGTGGGACTTCCAGAAAGGCAGCCGAAAGAGAGCTGAGTCAGCAGGGAGGGGCCTCTTTTTGCCTGTCTGTCTGTTCTCCTCCTGGCTTGCAAGTCTGGCAGCCCATGTTGACCCTGAGGCCACCGTGAGCACAGAAGCTACCCTGCTAGAATGTGGCAGCTGAAAGCTCAGTGAGGTCTAGGTCCCACCGGCTCTGGATGCCTGCTCTCTAAACTTTCTCTGTAGAAAGAAGAAATAGGCTTCTAGCATGTGTAATCCATTCTTGTCTTAGATTTTCCTATTTCATGCAGCCAAGTATAATCCTAATTCGTGCATAAGCCAAAATTGGCCTTTTCTCTTTTATTCACTGACAGTCATCTAGAAAGCAGCCCTGCCTTATCTGTCTTTCATCCTGGAAGTCGCTGAGGAAAGCAAACAGGTAGGCCGGCAATCTGATTACATACTGTCTCCGGCATATTTGCGCTGACAAGAGGACCACCAGAAAAAGCAATGTGTCACCCAAAAGGAGCATTGTGGTACTAAGTGATAATGAAATTCAGAACCTTTCAACTTTTCTATATAGATCTGAATACATGTAGGAGCTCTGAGAAACGTATAAAGTGCATCCTCTGGCCTTTGGCAGCGACAGGCGGGGATGTGGCCACAGATATGAGAAGAAAAATAAAAGTTAACTAGTTACTTTTAAGATCCAGCAAGCGTGTTTGGAAAGGCTATCTACGAATGACTTGTTGGAGGGCGATATTATGTCAGTTAATTTTCCACATGCCTCAGAAGACATTTGCAAAGGAAAATTATATATCTGCAGGTTCACAAAACAACTATTTCCCATATCAAACATTTTAAAGAAATGTTTCTCTTTTCCAGAACAATTACATATAAACTTTTTTTTTTTTTTTTGAGACAGAGTCTGGCTCTGTTGCCTGGGCTAGAGTGCCGTGGCATCAGCCTAGCTCACAGCAACCTCAAACTCCTGGGCTCAAGCGATCCTCCTGCCTCAGCCTCCCGAGTAGCTGGGACTACAGGCACGTGACACCATGCCCAGCTAATTTTTTCTATATATTTTTTAGTTGGACAATTAATTTCTTTCTATTTATAGTAGAGACGGGGTCATGCTCTTGCTCAGGTTGGTTTCAAACTCCTGACCTTGAGCAATCCGCCCACCTTGGCCTCCCAGAGTATTAGGATTACAGGCACGAGCCACTGCGCCTGGCCCACATTTACATATAAACTTGAACTCTTCTCAGAAAATAATTGAACATTTTACAGAATTAATAAAGAAATTGCTTCTGAGTACAGAAATTGAAAGTTCCAAGGTTTACAAATGACTGGAGAAATTTATTCACTGAGAAGTTTCTTATACAACTAATATAACAAAAGCCATCATTCCTCTAAACATTGTAATTTATATACAGCATCTGGGTTTGGTATTCAGAAACTGATTTTGAACACCTGGATAAGGATCAGATTGGAACATATTCATAATTGAAAAATAATGCTGCAGACTTCTCTAGCACCTCACCTCCCAATTTAATAGGCCAATGAGTCCCTCCTTATAGGTGGACTTCCTCCATTTGAAGAATGAGAGTTACTGTAAAGAAAGGGACAAAGAAAGTAATTTTTGACGAACTACTGGGTAGAACAACTTGCAGCAACATTAGGTTATTTACATTCAACTTTTCAAATTCATTTACAAGACATTTTTTTGGTTGGTATAGTTTCCTCTTGAGCTTGCTATTTCTTATAGCCCATCTCTATTAGGAAAGGAGTGAGCTGGGCGCAGTGGCTTACGCCTGTAATCCTAGTACTTTGGGAGGCGGAGGCGGGAAGATCACTTGAGGTCAGGAGTTTGAGACCAGCCTGAGCAAGAGTGAGACCCTGTCTCTACTAAAAAATAGAAAGAAATTAGCTGGACAACTAAAAATATATATAGAAAAAATATTAGCCGGCTTGGTGGCGCATGCCTGTAGTCCCAGCTACTTGGGAGGCTGAGGCAGAAGGATTGCTTGAGCCCAGGAGTTTGAGGTTGCTGTGAGCTAGACTGATGCCACAGCACTCTAGCCCAGGCAACAGAGCCAAACTCTGTCTCACAAAAAGAAAAAGGAAGGAAGGAGTGGTATAACAAGTTAAATGCCTCAAAGAAGCATTATATAATATGTTCAATGACAGTTGACTAAGGGAAGTCTGAAAAAGTAGTTTCATTTGTGGTGTTTTTCTTTTCTCTGATAGGCGCCTTTGGTGCTATGAGCTGGTATGCTTAGGGCCCAGCCAAAAATACAAGGCCAAGCCTTCAATTGCTAATCAAATGAATAAGCCTAGATCCTGACTGTAAACTCCATGTCTTTTACAATAATCACAGTTGAACAGGCTTGGCTGGACTTCAGTCATTTATTACCAGCAGTTTGCACTTGCACTTGGGAAGGTTTTGCAGATCCAGTTCCCCCATCCTCTTCCTGGCCCAAGCCCATCCCTTGGCACTTCCTCTCCACCGACTGTGGTCAGCGCAGTGGGTCCAAGGCCTCAGCTTGCCGCGGCTGCCACACCCAAAGCTGGATTGGCAAGCCTGGCAGAATGAGTGGATGAGTTCTTGGCAACAATCGCAGGGATCCTTCCCACGGACACCTTCTGCTCTGGTTCTTTATTGCTTTTTAAACACTTCGTCCATTGTTTTTGTTTGGTTGTAATGTTACTTTGCAGAAATAATACAGGCAATGTATGATTATATTCCCTTTGTAAAATAGGCATCTGAACTCAATGGCATCATTAATCAACTGGATAGAATCGACATCTATAGACTACTTCATCCCACAACTGCAGGGTACACATTTTTCTCAAGCTCACATGGAACATGCAACAAGATAAACCATATTCTGGGCTGTAAAACACACCTTAACCAATTAAAAATATTAGAGATCAACATACATAATGAGTGAGATGTGCACCATCTGGGGCATGGTCATGCTGGAAACTCAGACTTGGGGGAGAAGGGGAAAGGGCATTTATTGAAACCTTAAAATCTGTACCCCCATAATATGCTGAAAAAAAAATTAGAGATCATACCACGTGCACTGTCAGACCACAATGTAATTAAACTAAAGATTAATAATGGAAAAATAGCTGAAAACCCCCAAATATTTGGAGATCAAACAACACACTTATCAATAACACCTGGGTTAGAGAAGAAATCCCAAGAGAAATTTTTTAATATTCTGAATGAAATAAAAGTGAAAATATAATTTATCAGAATTTGTGAGATACAGAGAAAAACAGTGTTTAAAGGGAAATTTATAGCATTGAATGTTTATATTAGAAAAGAGGAATATCTAAAAATCACTAATATAAGTTTCTATCTTAGAAAACTACAAAAAAAAGAGCAAATCAAATTCAAAGTAAGCAGAAGAAAATAATTAATGAAGAGTAGAACAGTGATAAATCAGTGAAATTAAAAACAGGAAATCAATAGAGAAAATCAATGAAACCAAAACTAGTTTTTTAAAAATATCAAAAAAAATGATAAGCTTCTCCAAACTAAGAAAAAAAGAGAAAGGATATAAATTACTAATATCAGAAATGAGAGGGAAGTCATCACTACAGATCCCATGGATATTAAAGGGATAATAAAGGAATACTATGAATAACTCTATGCTCACAAATTTTTACAAACTAGATGAAATGGACCAATACCTTGGAAGACACAATCTGCTAAAACTCACACAAGAAGAAAGACAATCTAAATAGTGTTACATCTATTAAAGAAATTAATTCCAAAGGTAATAATCTTCCAAAATAGAAAGCACTAGTCCCAGATTGGTTCACAGTGAATTATACCAAACATTTAGGAAACAAATTGCACCAATTCTCTACAACTTCTTCCAGAAGAAAGAAGCAGAGGAAATGCTTCATAACTCATTTTACAAGGCCAGCATTTCCCTAATACCAAAACCAAAGACATTACAAGAAAGGAAAACTACAGAGCAATATGTCTCATGAATATAGATGCACAACCCTCAACAAAATACTAGCAAATTGACTCCAACAATGTATACAAAGAATTTTACAACACAACCAAGTGGGATTTATGCCAAGCACGCAAACCTGGTTCAACATTCAATAATCAAATTAATGTAATCCAGGCTAAAGAAGAAAAATCACATGATCATATCAATAAATGCAGAAGACACATTTGGCAAAAATCCAACATCTACTCCTGATGCAAAACTTCCAGCAAGCAAGGAACAGAGAACTTCCTCAACTGGTTAAAGAATATTTATTTTAAAAAACCTACAGCTAATATCATATTTAACAGTGGGAAACTAGAAGCTTTCCTGCTAAGATAAAGAATAAAGTAGGGATGGCCTCTCTCACCACTCTTTTTCAACATCATTCTGGAAGTCTTATGTGATAAGACAAGAAAAGGACATAAAAACTGGGAAAGAAGAAGCGAAACTGGCTTTGTTTGCAGGTGACATGATCGACTATATAGAAAGTCTGCAAGAATCAACCAAAAAACTCCTGAAACGAATAAGTGATTATAGCAAGGTTATAGGATACAAAGTTAATATACAAAAGTCAATTGCTTTCCTATATATCATCAACAAAAATGTGGGATTTGAAATTAAAAACATTATCATTTACTTGAGTATACTTAGGTATAAATCTAGCAAAATATGTATAAGATCTATATCAGAAAAACTACAAAAACCTGGTAAAAGAAATCAAAGAGGAACTAAATAAATGGAAAATATTTCATGTTCATGGAGAGAAAGACTCATTATTATCAAGATGGCAGTTCTTCCCTACTTAACCTACAGATTCAATGCAATCTCAATCAAAATCCCAGCAAGTTATTTTGTAGATATTGACAAACTGATTCCAAAACCTATATGGAGAGGCTAAAGAACCTAGAATAGGTAACACAACATTGAAAGAGAAGAATAGAGTCAGAGGACTGACACTACCTGACTTCACGACTTACTATAAAGCTGTTGTAAGTAAGACAGTGTGGCATTGGCAAAAGAAAAGATAAATAGATATAAGGAACAGAAGAGAGAGCCCAGAAATAGATATATATAAATATAGTCAACTGACCTTTGACAAAGCAGCAAAGGCAATACAATGGAGCAAATATAGTCTTTTCAACAAATGGTGCTGGAACAATTGGACATCCATGTGCAAAAAAAGAAAGAAAGAAAAAAAAAAGAATTTAGACACAGACCTTACAGTCTTCACAAAAATAACTTTAAATGGATCATATACCTAAATGTAAAATAAAAAACTATAAAATCTAAAAATTTTAGGGATTGCAATGACTTTTTAGATACAATACTAAAGGCATGAACCATGAAAGAATTGATAAGCTGGACCTCATCAAAATTAAAAACTCTGCTCTGTGAAAGACATTGTCATGAGGGTAAGATAAGACATAGACTGGGAGAAAATATTTACAAAAGACATATCTGATAAAAGACTGTAAACCAAAATTTACAATGAACTCTTAAAACCCAACAATAAAAGAAGCACGATCTAATTAAAAATGGGCAAAAGACCTAAACAGATACCTCATCAAGGAAGACATTAACATGGCAACTAACCATATGAAAAGATGTTCAACATCATATGTCACTATTGCAAAATGACATATTTTGCAATTATGAATTGCAAAAGAAAACAACAATGAGATACTGTTACACAAACCTATTAGAATAGCCAAAATACTAAACTCTGACAATACCAAATCCTAGCAAGGATGTGGAGCAAGAGAAGGTCTCATTTATTGTTAGGGAATGCAAAATGGTACAGCCACTTTGGAAGACAGTTTGGCAGGTTCTTCTAAAACTTAAACATTATTTTACTATATGCAATCCAGAAACTGTGCACCTTGGTATTTACCCAAAGGAGTTGAAAACATGCACAGAGATGTTTATAGTAGTTTTATGCATCATTACCCAAACTTGGAAGCAACTAAGATGTCCTTTCACAGGTGAATGGATAAACAAACTATGGTAATCCAGACAATGGAATATTATTCAGCACTAAAAAGAAATGAGCCAACAAGCCATGAAAAGATTTGGATAAAACTTAAATGCAGATTACTAGGTGCAATAAGCCAATATGAAAAGCCTACATACTGCATGACATTCTAGATAAGCAAACCTATGACGACAGTAAAAAGATCAGTGGTTGCGACGCATTGGGAGGAGGGAGGGATAAACAGTTGGATTATAGAGGATTATTAGGGCAGTGAAACTATTTTGTATGATATTATAATGTTGGCTACAAGTCATTATACATTTGTCTAAATCCATAGAATGTATAACATTAAGAGTGAAGCCCAACGTAAACTATGGACTTGGAGTGATAATGATGTGCTAATGTAGGTTCCTTTATTGTGACAAATGTACCATGCTGACATAAGATATTGACAGCAGGGGAGGCTGTGTGTGTGGCAGTGAGCAGGGGGATATGGAACTTTCTATAGTTTCTGCTCAATTTTGCTATGAGCCTAAAACTGCTCTAAAATAACAAAGTCTATTTAAACAGAAAAAAAACCAACATTATAGTTAAAATTCCTTTTAACCAC